AGCAGGAAGCAGGCGAGGAAGGTGATGGAGGCCAAGCCCGCTCCCTCTCAGGTCTGCTCGGCCCTACCCTGGTCCTCCCTCCCTCGGAGACAGGACCTCCCTCATCAGCTTTCTAGATCCGAGTCGAGGGGCTTCCTCCCTGCCCCACCTTTCAGAAGGTCTTGGGTACCCCAGCCATCTCCGGAACTGGGCTTGTTACAAATAGAAGCAGTGGTCCCCTGGGAGGTGACGTTGTGCCTCCGCGCCCTGGCATCCCGCGGCAGCTTACCGTGCGTCTCTCCTTTCAGCTCCCTGGGGGAGTCCCTGCCTAGCGACAGCAGGCAAGTGGAAGCCCCGCCTGCCCGGCTCCTGCCGCCCCCTAGCGGCCCTACACCAGGAGGCAGGCCAGTGGTCCAGGTTTTCCTGTTGATGCCTCCAGAGCCCACTTCCCTGTTCTTTTGTGGGTCCCTGGTGCTCTCTCTCCCTGGGGATGGGACTTCAGCCCCCTCCTCCCTCTTCCCCGGTTCACGACCCTCTTTCCTCCCAGCTCGCAGCTGCACCACCGGCCGGTCGTCAGCTTCTGCATGGATCCCGTTTGGGACCTGCCCCCAGGTAAGGCCATGCTACCACTTGCAGTCTCTCCATCTAGGGCCTAGATACAAGGGTGGGAGGGGCAGTCCTGCCACTTCTGTTTCCAGGAATACCCTCCTCCCTTTCTCCACTGCCACCCTTGGGGGCCCTGTGCCTGTTAGCCTGCTCTGTAGACACTAGGCACGCCTGGACCCCTGGTCTCCACCCTTCAGCAGCCTGGCTTACTGAGCTGATGCGGACAGGATGTGACCTGGGAATGTGGAGACTATGGGGGGTTACCTACTGCCTGGGCAGGACCTCCTGCTCCCGAGGAGTGCTGTGTGGTGGAGCTTAGGGAGCTGCAGGTCTAAGGCCAGACCTGCCCCAGCCCTCTCCACCCTGGAATCCTTCACTTCTTGCTGTTCATTTCTACCCCACAGAACCCCTGCCTAACGTGGTGGTGAGTGGTGTGCTCCAGGGCCTCTACGGCTTCAGCCCAGCACCAGCTGAGCCCGGGGCTGCCTGCCACCCTGCTCCTCTGCAGCCAATGCCCTGATCAGCCAAGGCATTTGGACCCTCTGTCAGGACAGCCAAGTACCTCAGTCCTGCAAACTCCATGTAAGGGACCAGGGCTGGGTGCCCCCTGGCCTGGACCCAGCACTTCACCACCTAAGCCCAGAACTTAGGGGGTGGTGATAGTCGGCACTAGTAGAATCAGGTGCTCTTCAAGCCTGAAGATCAAGGGGCTAAGAAGGGAAAAGTCTGTCAGCGGTAGGCTGTAGAGGGACAAGTTATTTTTTTAAAAGGTTTTTGCCATAGGGTGCATGCGCTCATGGGGGAGAAAGAGAAGTAAATCATCCCCAAGGAGATGGCCATACCACAATCCCTTTCTCCATTCTTATCCTGGGCTTTTGGACATACATACCCAGCATGATTTTCAAGCTGCCAGGTCCAGGGCTCTGAACTGCAGTTGGCCATGTCAGCATCTTAACCACGCCACCTGCTGGCCTCCAGGCATATTCCCAAACCTAGACCAGGGACGGAGGGTACAGAAGCTGACACAGAACCTGTCCATTTAGAAGCAAAGCTCCTACTGGACTCTGTGGGTAGCCTCTGGGTGAAAGGTGAGGCAGGACCAGCAGGTGGTGTGATGGTTAAGGCATCCAGGCAACTTCCAGTTGGAGTCCTGGACCTGGCAGCTTGAAAGTCATGCTGGGTATGTATGTGTGTGCCCAGAATCCCGAAAGAATGGAGAAGGGACTGCTGCACACCTGGCTGTCTCCCGGGGGTGGGGGGAGGTGATTTCTCACTTTTTCTGTCTCTCTCTAGCAAGTGCACATGCCCTATGACAATTTTTTTTTTTTTTAAATTTGACCAGAGAAAGGAGAAGCAAGAAAGCAAACCACCAAGTCCAGGATTCGAAATGCAGTTTGCCATGTGGGATTCCAGCACCCTTAACCACCATGCCACCTGCTGGCCTCCCAATTTTTTTTTTTTAATAAAAGGTGAAGCAGGGGCCCAAAGAGGGGCAGGCATCCATCACTGGAGGAGCCTCAGGCATGCCAGTGTAGCCCAGGGAAGCCATGCAACCCAAGACCCAGGTCCACACGCAGTGTATAAAAAAAACCCACTTCTGTTTTATTGGTCAGCATTGGTAGGAGTTTGTTACAAAACCGGGCCCTGGGCCTGTGGAATGTGGGGGAATGGGTCCGCTCCGCCAGATGCCAGCACCAGGGCCAGTGCAGCACAGAGCCCTGTGGCGGGCTGTCTTCACCCCCATGAGGGCGACGGGCCTGCATGGACGGTCACTTGAGGGAAGAGGTCCCTGGGCTACTCCTTGGCAATGGCAAAGGGCTTCTCCACCTCGATCTTGCCGCAGTCTGCAATGATCACGTCCTTCAGGGGCTTGTCCCGTCCGTCTGTCTTGGTGTTCTCCACCTTCCGCACCACGTCCTGGGAAGGGAAGGCAGGAGTAGGAAGATGAGTGGGTGGGAGGCCCACCACCCTCGGAGACGGGCCAGTGTGTGGTGTGCGAGATCCACTAGGGATTAACAGCACACAACCTGGGGCTCCAGGGCCCAGGGCAGTTGCAGGCAGACCCAGATTTGATGATGTGGGGTATGGGAGTTCTGTTCCTTGAAGACCAAGGTTGGGCCAAAGGTGCAGAGGAAACAAGGGTGGCTGGGAAGCACAGGAATAAGTGGCTTCTTGGTCTGAGGTATCTGGCTGCACCCTGCCTGCTCGGAACCAGCACATCACCATGGATGACAGACCGAGACTCCAACTATACAGCCTCCAGAGGCCACTGGCTAGGGATGGAGGAACCCTGCCTCTCCTCTGCTCGTTCAAAGGGCAGGCCAGGGGATGGAGATGCACCTGTTCTCAAGTCACCCATGCTAGCAGACGTGAGCACTGGTCTGACTCTGTGGCTTGGGTTCTTGTGGGGAAGGGATGACATCCAGGAAGCCCCTGGCTGGGTCTGTGCCAAGTCCCAGGGGAGGACTGCCCACCACAGTACTCACCATGCCCTCTAGGACCTTGCCGAACACCACGTGCTTGCCGTCTAGCCAGGCTGTCTTGACGGTTGTGATGAAGAACTGGGAGCCGTTGGTGTCCTTGCCCGCGTTGGCCATGCTCACCCAACCGGGCCCGTAGTGCTTCAGCTTGAAGTTCTCATCGGGGAAGCGCTCGCCATAGATGCTCTTTCCTGGGGATACAGATGGAGTAGGTCAAGAGAGTTGCCCAAACCAACTAGGGACTGAGGAGCCAAGGGGCCGAACCTTCTGCCATGCTAGGCCAGGCCTGAATGCAAAGACAAAACTGCCCCTCCTACCTCTGGTCTCAGGGCCAAACCACGCTGACAGAGCTGGGACGGGGTAGGGGCACAAGGCCAAGCCGTGTCGCAAGCTCACGACGGGTCACTCTGAGCACGCGTCTATGGACTGGGCACACTGCTGGGCACCTGTGGCTCTCAGAGGCCTGCTCCAGGGGACCATGATGGAGGGGCACCCCTCCAGTCAGGAGGACTGTGGAGCTGGCCAGTTTGTCTTCCTGAGGGCACAGGAGACTGAAACAGCTGCAAAGACGACAGATGGGGCAAGGGACGGACCAGAGCAGGGCAGCCACCGGGTTGTAGAGTCAGAGGCCTCTGCTCAGGAATGAACGTGAAATAAAAGACGGCTTTGAACGTGAGTGACGTGTTGTCCACATGAGGTTTGGGGCACAGCACATGACAAAGGGGGGCGGGAGCGGCTGCTACACTGCCACAGAGCTTGGCTCCAGAGCCAGTCCCAGGAGAATCGCAGAAACCCTTCCTTTTCCTTGTCAACTCTGGAGGCCCAAGTCGCCTCCCCGGGGACAGCAGCACTGGCCCCCTCAGCAGTCCGCTTGCTTTTGGCTCCACATCCTGAACCTGCCACTGGCGTCTTCCCTCGGATAAGACCCAGGTTCCCTGCTATAACCCAGCCCTGGATACCAGACATGTGCTCTCTTCTCCCTCCCCTACCTTTGGCCGGCCTCACACGTGTGCTTCTCCTCTGCCCATTCAAGTTTGCCCCATCTGTGACCCCTCAAATCTTGCCTCACATCCACAAGGCCATTTCCTGGTCCCTGTGGGCGGAAGTGACTCCTCCACCCACCAGCGCTTCAATAATGGCTGAACCTACTGACCCCGTAACCCTCAAGGTCTTGTCTCATCTTCTCAGCACCCACGACTGCACTCACTCTCCCTTTACAGAAGAGGAAACAATCCCAGGGACTCGCCTGCCTGAGGTCACAAAGGTGGTTGGCAGGCACTGGACCAGACCACACCGAGTCCCTGCTCCCTAGCTATTTTCTTCACCTCGCCAGCCCCCGTTTTGCTATAGGCGCTTGCCAGAGAGAAAAAGTGAGAAATCACTCTCTAGGGAGGATGGCCGCACCACAATCCCTTCTCCATTCTTCTCTCTGGATTTTGGGCTCACACATAAATACACCCAGCGTGACTTTCAAGCCACTAGGTCCAGGACTTGAGCTGCAGGTGGCCATGTGGGACCCAGCACCTTGACCTCCACGCCACCTGCTGGACCCCTCCCCCCACTGTATTATTGTATTACTGGGTCATGGGACAAGCTATGACACATTTTTGCATAGGAAAACACGTCATGACTTTTCTGGCAACCCAATAAACTAAGTGGGCTTCTCAGCCACTACTGCCTTTAGCTATTACTTAAACCTCAAATTCTCACGTGGCCTTCAGAGATTTTTCTCCTCGTTCTTCCACAGGCCTGATAGACGACTTGAGGACAGGGCCTGAGACCTAGCTGTATTCTGGCTCACTCGCGAGTTTCCAGGTACTAGACCCGAAACAGGCTGCTGCCCTACTGACCTTTACAGCCCAGCTCCAAGAGAGCCTGGTGCAGCAAATACTCAGATTAGACTGCTGTTCTCCACCTTCGCCCGTGGTCTGAGGGGACAGCAGACTCTGCCCAGCACGGTGAGAACCAGGGTTAGCCCAGGGTATTTTGCCTCTCTGGCACATGTGTACAAGGAACACTGAGGTGAGACTTAAGCAGCCCTTGCCAAGCAGTCTCTGGTTGGATCCTCCAGGGAAAGCGATGGCTCCTGCCCCAGGTAGGGCTTCTACAGTGGCAGAGGCTTTATGCAGTGACCCTGACATTGCTTACCATGTGTCTCCACTTTGCTTCCACACTTCTCCACTCCCAACAGGTCCTGGGAGAAAAGTCACCAGGCTGTAGGCCAGGATCACAGACCTGCTACCGGAACCCTGTGACTCCCTCTCCTACACTAGGTTCCCTTCACAAAGAAAGGTGCCACTGGAGCTGTTGTCCACGCAACACTGTCCATCTGCCATCCCGCTTTAGAGGCTACACTGGACAGACTCTCTGTCTTGAAGCCCTGTGGTTACCTCCAGTGCCATCTCCCCGGGTAAAGTCTCCGCCTTGGATCATGAAGTCCTTGATCACACGATGGAATTTGCTGCCTTTGTACCCAAATCCTTTCTAGAAAAAGGGATGAAAAAGTAAGAAGATGGTATGCGGTAGCAGACAGACATCAGACAGGTCCTGCAGGAACCCAGCCCGAGACTCCTGCTCCTGAGGACACAGCACTGCTGGCCAGATTTGTCATTCAACATGCTCCTGAGTGTCGCTGCGGCCCAGTCTGGAGCACTGAGATCCGGGAAGGGCTAAGAGTCCACACTCCTCGGCCTTTGTACAATTCCCTGATCGTATACAACGCGATGTCATGTAAGGCCTTTCCCCTCTCGTCCCTTCTAACAGTAAGTACACATGAAACAAAACTATCCGAGAAAGCACCTGCCGCCTCAGTGAGAAGTTGAAACATAGACTTTCTTCATTTTGTCCCCTAGAGCCCCTTACTATCTCCCCAGGGGAAGTCTCCCTGGGAAGCTCTGGGCCCCTTACTCTTAAGATATGTCAGTGCTGCATGCTGCATTCCTGGGGCGACAGTCAGCTGGCATGCAGCGAGGGCCACCACGCCAAGACTGCCCAGTGCAGCTGTCTGCTGCCAACTCCACACGATTTGCACTGACAGTCTCTGCTCCAGCCACTTACCTCTCCTGTAGCTAAGGCCACGAAATTGTCCACTGTCTTTGGAACAGTCTTTCCAAAGAGACCAAAGACCACCTGGCCTACGTCTTCATCTCCAATTCGGAGGTTGAAGAACACCTGAGGAAAAAGACCATTTCAGACTTAGCCTCTTCCCTTGGTAGTAAAAGAAGGGTTCAGGAAGAGAGCCTGCAGATGGGAGGTAGAGCCCGATTTCTAGAATAGAGGTTCTGAATCTGATTTCGGAGGCAAAAAACCTGTGAGAATTTAATGGAAAACAGGTTTGTTTACACTCTTCTTAGACTGCAGGATAACCTTTGCTCCAAGTAAATAATAGGCCCAGAATCTAAACGTTAACATTAAAAAACCCACAGGGAGGGGTTTAAGCTATGCTCGCTGTGCTTTGTAATTGAAGTGGCTCAAATCTGGCTGTACAGGGGAAAGCATTCGGAATCTGGCAGATGCGATTTCACCTGTTCCCCAGGACTGCGGGGCATTTACAGTGCCGGCCGCAGCTGGGCAGCCGGCTCCAAC